TATATGCGTGTGTGTGTGTGTGTTGTTTCGATGATAGAATTAAACTTAGAACTATATGTGTACATAGAGAGATATGAATTAGGTGCTGCAATCAACACTGTCAACTACTCATACCTGCATTAGCACAGAATGACCCACAAGTGTAGGCGGCTTTCGTATCCACTTCCCGTTCACGTCCACATGTTCTAATCTAGGCCCAAGAAGATAGCAACCAGCAAGAGACGTGAAAGCACCGTAGCCGTGAACCACTGACGAGCCAGCAGTATCGTGAAAGCCCCACTGAAACAGCCAACCATTTTTATTCCAAGACCAGTGTGCCACCAAGGGGAAAAAAATCAAATTGGTCCACCAGGTGTACCATGCGTACATTTCCATAGTAGAGCGCTCAGCGAAGGCACCGGAGGGGATGGTGGTCGATGTGAGGCCGAAGAATACCAATACCATCCACGCCGTTAAGGTAGTCTCACCCAACGAAAACCCACCCGCCAGTGCGTATACTTCTGCTTGAGTGCCAAAAATCCCCCCCGCAGAGGTATCTCCGAGCAGTATACCGCCACCGATCAGCCAGAACGCAGTTATGCCTATGCTCATATTGATAATGTTCTTCATAAGAATAGATGTGGCATTCTTGGACCGCACACTGCCTGCTTCTAATAAGAAGAAGCCGCCTACCAATAGGATGATCTGAGGTACCGTGTTTAGACACTGCCCCAGAATGAACTGATGGGGAGTAACAACAAACGTGTCTGTTTCTGGAACATCACTCATATTGACGGTTGAAAAAAAGCTGATGTCCAGCTGGTATGAATATTGTATGTACACGCAAAGGAAAGCAGCGTGCGTTTGAAACGGTGACTATCTACTCACTGGAGAGAGCAGTAGTGTGTGCATCTAAATCTTAAGTGTGAAACAGATATAATTATGTCCAGTTGCCTCCGGGCTCCGGTCAGTGTACACAGTCGCTGATAACGAACATAACGATGCATAAATACATTTTTAACTAAAAATATTTACATATTTACATATGGAGCCTGGGTCCCTCCGGGAGGCTGGGTGTAATTTAAAAATACTTATTTCTGATGCTCCCCCGCGCCCCCAGAAAGTGAAAAGTCTGGACTTTGGAGTTTTAGAGTCTGGATTCTGGAGTCTTGAATGTCGAGTGTTTTCTTTCCCAACAATTATTATCTATTTATTTTTTAAAACAGTGTGAGAGTTGCTAGTTGTTGTGACAAAAAGTTAGCTGTTGTATAAAGTCTCGTGTTTTGTTTTGTTTTTTTTAAATGAGGCACAAACTTTGCAAAGTCACAGAGTCACAGAGACACAGACTCACAGTCTCACAGACTAGCAGTCGACGCAGTGTCACACAGAAAATTTATCATGATGAATGTGTACAATTCATTGAACTAAAATATCAATTTACTCTTTAGGAACAGAATTCTAATGAATAAGTGTTTTATCGCTAAAAAATAAAAAATAAATACACATGTACTGTTTTTTTTAGGGGTAATGGATTTTGGAACCATAAAAATTAAAAACCTATGGAGTGTACATATCTATAAACTTTATTTCCAAAAAATGAAGAGAAAAACAAACCAAAATCAGCTTCGATGTATTTATTTATTATTTATTTTGTTTTAAAAAATAAAATAAAAGCACCTTGTTTTTAAAAAAACAATAACGCCTGCATTTAAAAAAAATGAATTTAGTGACTCATTCATAGCCCATGGCAGGCCTGGGCCATAGTCATGGCCTCAGCCCTTACAGGGCTCAGGCCCCGGCCGTTGGGCCGTTGGCGGCTGGGGCCCTCTCGGCTCTCGCTCACTCTTCTTTGAGAATATGTATGTACTATGTATTATTATATACATACTCGAGAATAGAGAACTATCGGTAAATACAGGTTCGGAGCACTGAGGAGTCCGAGGTTAAAGGTTGTTTTAACCTGAATAAACGTTTCAAAATTTGTAAATTGAAATAATAAGCGTGTACGTTTTTCAAAACAAATAGAAACAGAGGCTATGTTTGTCGTTTGACTCACGTATTTTTTTAAAGTATGTATTTTGTACGTGTGTATGTATTATTATATTTACATACATTTTAAATAACAAAAACAAAATAAATCAAACGTTTTTTGGGGGGGGGGTTTTTTTTTAAAACGCCAAAACAAAACAATGGCAAAATGTACATATTTAGCCTTCTGAAATGCAAAAGTCGAATCGAAAATAAATGATTAAATAATTCCGAGGTGGAAATACTTTTATTAAAAAAATCCCAATGTTTTTGTTTTTAAAAAACAAAAACAGACAAAGTTAAAAAATTAAAACTTTTGTTTTTAAACAAATAAAACCAGTTTCTATGAAAATTCTTAGCCTTCTGAAAATTGAACAGAAATATTTTTAACAAAAAACATAAAACCGAAAATGGTACCGAACTGGTTTTGAAAAAGGTAGAACGCACCACCACAGTGAACCAGTTGGTCACATAGCTTCTTTACCGCTCCTGAGTCCTGGCCGCTGGTCTAATGTATATACACTATCCACGTGAACGGGGCTAAAATTGGAATATAGAATTAAAATGCATACATTATTATTATAGAAGCTACGTACGGTACGCTACCAGTAAACGTTATCATGGCCAACGTACAAGAGAACCGCGTGGCAGAGTATGAGAAGTTAGAGAAGGAGATCGCACGTGGGGTTGCGCTAAGGAAAGAAGTGGAAGATTTGAGTGGGACTCTGAAGAACTTGAACGAGACAGCTGGTCGAAATGGTAGCGTGTCCACACTTCGTCTTATTTTGTTTTGGTCAATATAATTGTACAGTGAACCTTATATATACACATTTATATTTAAATATATATATATATGTATATATATAAATATATATATATACATTATATATATATATATAAATATATATATATGTGTGTGTGTGTGTGTGTATGTATGTATGTATGTGTGTGTGTGTATACATGTAATATATTATTATACTT